ATATAATATATTATTATATTTAAGTAATTTTAACGTTATTATTTTGTATATATTTAAAATTCCTTGCTGCATTTATGCGCTCTAAAATAAAGCAAGTATGTAGAATATATTCAGAGATAATCATATATCTTTTCATCATCTAAAGGAAATTAATAACTTTATAGTTTGCTTTGATATCATATCATTACAAAGATTTTCTCACGTTGCGAACTTGTTAATTGCATCTGTCAAACTCTAACAGTTTGAACGGGCTCCTTGAAATAGCAGAATTATTCTTGCTTTATTGTGAGATTCGGATAATAATCGAACCAAGCAAACCATTGTTAAGGGCCGGCGAACGATGAAATTTCGAGAAGCCGGAATTCCGCGATTAACGATTAAGATAACGGAGGACCATTGTCGCGAGCTTTTGTCTGCTGGAATTTCGGGAAGCAGCAATGTCGAGCATTTCCTTTGACATTACCTTTCACGTCGGACGAGCGTAGTTCTAGTTTCGCGGTAACTGACTCGCATATGAAGTTCGTATCGTGAGCAAAACGTTTGACAAAGTGTTCTTATACATATGCACCGTGTATATTATTGTGTCATAACGCATTATCGATCTGATATTAGAATAGAATTGTACATTTGGTTGATACAAATATACGCGACTTCTTTTCGCGGCGCGAATAAAAAAAAACTACGATTTGTGCTATTGATTTTTATTTCAGTTTCATAAACGCTCTTAAATTTACAATGAATTCGCGTATTAACGACGTTATATAGCGTTTCCAGCCTGAATAAACTAGGTCGAATTAAGTCACATTACGATGACTTATTTGATTATATGGCATTTCGTGACAAAAATGAAAACCTGCAATCAAAGGAAATGCCACGAAATGACCTAAAATACGCGACAAGACGAACACGTTCGGAAATGGTAAAAGTTACACGGCGACTAGGTTGTTTAGAGTTTCATTTGTATCGACATATATTAACAGTGTGCGTACGTGTGCGCCCTTGTACGTGTCTAAATAAATGGAGGCCATTGAGGATTTATAGTGAATGTACATTGTAGTAATTCTACATGGGTGGTATGAATGATAGGAGCTCATGTACACGAATTCAAGTGTTCTATTTTTATTCAATTCCATATTGAAGAAGCGTGTGAATTGTTATTCTCATGTCGGACTTCCTGCGACAAAAGTAGCAAAGTCAATACGCATACACTAAGTTTTTAGAACAATGAAAGAGTATTTATTCCGCAGAACGGTTTTGCGTTCTGCAGCGCGACGCTATTTATTGAAGATATAAATATCGATCATTTTGAAAGCAACATAAGTCTCGATATTATCGTTCTAAATTTTACTCCGCGTCTGAAAGCGCGATATATCAATAATTTGTACTGCGAGCTGTTAGACTTATGTTATTTTCGCAATGATTAAATTTCAAGTAAAATATATATGTATTATATGTATAGTATATATATCGGACAAAAACGGTGACTTGCTAACGATGATCGCTTCACACATGCTTCGGAAAACGTCCCATGGAATGTGGCGTAGAATTATTTCTCCGTCGCGGTAACACGTTATGGTGCACTGAACAATTAACCCGAGACATATGTCACACGTCATGAAGTGCAAAATGTGTAATATTGTCAGAGTACTGAATTGTATGAGGAATAATCTGCAGCCTCCGCTCTGTGGTGTCGTCAACTGAAACAATACAACAATTTCTACGAGAGAAACAGAATCGTGTCCATCTTGTATAGCGAAGGGCGTTAATTATTTGGAAAAAAAAAAAGAAAGAAAAAAGAATTACATATGTTAAAACTTCTACCGTGGTAACATTCCGGAAAATTTCGGAACTCTCTGCGTCACTCTCGATCCCTTTTGGTATAAAAAGATACACGGTTACTTTACGGCTAGTGAGATAAGTACCAATCCCAAGATGTTTCTCAAGTCCCCATCGACCATCTCCCTTCCCACGCTCTTATTTACAGATGTGTTGATCAATCTGGAGTCGATTCTTTATCAACAGGCACATCCAGACGTCAATAAACGACGCAAACAAAAATACAAAGCTTTTTTTTCCCCGCAAGTCATTCTAATAATGGAGAACCTTATTCTTCATTTAACGTCTCGAGCAGACGTCATTCACAGAGAAAATAAAGACGCTCATTGTCAATTTGGCAATTTAATGCTAAAAATAAGAGGAAAAAAAGATTGTCCGAGATGTGGCGTTCGATAATATAAAAATATCAAAATATTGTCCCCTAAAAAAATATCATATAGAGCCAATCGACGGACTTGATCGATGCGTTTCAGGGATCCTTCGACGGAGGGATGCCCCTCAAACGTGATCCGGGTCCGAAGGACGAGTTGACGCCCGACGACGAGCCGAATCCTGTCAGGATCGCTCGGCCGCCGGCGCGCGACCACCCCTCGTAATAACAATGAATCCTCAAAGGGGGAGGATTAGGGGTGGGGGGGGGTAGGGGGGAACGGGAGGTTGGGGAGAAATGGTATATAAGGGGTATGGGATCGCGTGGCGGCGGGAAGGGTGTCGATGTTTGTTATCGTGAGGGATAAACGGGCGCGAGCGCGCGCGAGCGAGCGCGCGGGCGCGCGCGCGCGTTCACTTACATGAAAATAATGGCAAACTATACACGAGCAGTAGGATTTTTCTCCAGTGACCGACGACCGGGCGCTGCATTTTCGCTTTCTACGAAGGTCGGAGAGGCGATCGCTTCTACGGCAACGTGCACGGTTAAATATCTGTTGCTCACTACGTAGCGAGGCGGAGGCGAAGGCGGAGGGCGAAGGCGTAGGCGAAGGCGAAGGCGTAGGCGAAGGCGAGGCGAGGCGAGGCGAAGGCGCAGGCGAGGCGGAGGTATACGGAAGATAGAGCGTGCGTGTCTACGTTTGTACAGAGTGTGCCTTTAAAACTACGACGCGACCTCGTGTATGCCGGGGTGTCGGCGCTACAACTGAGCCGAGGAGCAGGGCCTTTCGATCGTTCGACCGACCCGTTCCCGTTCGACCGACCTGACCCCCCACCGAACACACGAACGCAGGGGAGCGTCGCGACGCGGGACGACGCGCGACGACGCGGCGCCCAAGCGCGCGCGAGGCGGGACTGCGGGGGCCGCCTTCCGGTTTATTAAGGGATGCCCGCGTGCGCTCCGCGTCGGAGAAAATCCGACGAGGATACGTCGCGCCGATTCTCCTTGACAAAGGGGGTCGTTGACCGTCGTACGAAATGAGCGAACAAGCGATGGAATTATCGATGCCAGGTCCATCAAGCTGTACACTGTCAATCGCCGATATTAGAGACCAGAGACTTTTTTGAGACTTTTTGAGAACGCCGAGAGAGAATTTTATTCTTTTCATTCCATTTTTATATTCCCTTCAATTATTCGTGATGAATGTAATTGGAAATTAAAAAGTTTAGCCTTCATACGAAATTCCAGTAATCACGTCTTTAGCCTGGAAGATTATAATACCTAAAAAAAATTGAGAATTTTAATGAAGAGTACGGTCTGTAATTAGTTTCATTCTTCAATAATTATGATAGAAAACTACCCATACCTTAGGAAAAGATAGTATAATTAAATTTTATGCATGTGTGTATACTTATTAATGTATAAGTATGCATGTGTGCTGTGTATCCGATACGAATTTATTTTATGAAATCATAAATTTGTAAAGTTGTAAATTAAATAAATTCTATATCTTTTGAATTTTTATATTTTACTCCTATATTTTATTTCTATACTTATTACTATATTTTTATATTTTATTACTATAAATATATAAATTTTAGCGATTCTTCTATAGTTATAATACAAAAAATTACTTTCTTATTTTGATGGAAAATTTGTTATTTTTTTGTTCCAACGAGAGATAACGTAATATAAAACGAATCCCTTCAAAGAATAACGTGTAAATTCTTTTTAATTAATATATAATTTAATTAACATATATATTCGCACGATGCTGGAAGTGGAATATTAAATCTAGCAAGGTTTGCTTTGCAAATTAGATTGTTTCGCGAGAAAAAAGAAAATCAATAAAGAGTACCGAGTTGTTCAGGTTATTGTATAACTTTCACTAATATTTTTTTAATTTCATTTTTCCAACTATTGCAAGAAAAGTGTCGAAGCTTAATCATGTTCACTATTTTGACGTTTTGATTTCGCGTTTTTATGAATCAAAATGTTTTTATGATTCGAAAAATACGAGATTCATTATCTCATAAGAGGATTTGTTGTATCCCATTGAGCAATTATTAAAATAATTTAAATTTAGAACAATTTTTATTAATAAAAATTAATTAGAACGATATTGATATGCGAAAATTTTTTATATAGAGGGAAAGCTTTTAACATCTTTTATATTTTCCTGTGATTGAAAAAGGAAAAATGTAACTAAACAATTAATATCTTAACATATCTTAATTTTTGCACGTAAATAAACTAATGAATATTAGAATAGCATACTAACTAATATTTACTAGATGTAAAGAGATAATAATTGATACAAGAACTATTAATTTAATGTAATTACATTTGTTTATTGAGTAAATATTTATTTATTGTAAGTAAATGTTTAGTATTAGTATTGAAAAAACGTTAAGATTTAATAACGCTTTTTCTCAATGTAATTATATATGTAATATATTTTTAGATGAAATAATTGATAAATAATATAATTAATAAATTAAGTATTAAAGCTCGGTTGAGATAAAAATCAATGCAATCAATTAATGCTTATTCGAGTCAACACAGGATGACAATGTAAAAATTAATTTATTTAAATCAATATAAACGCGTTTCAATTCTGTTTCGGATTCTTATCAATGCTCCATATCAATTGTTAACAAAATGCAGTCATCTAAGAATAGTAATGACGTCATCGTACTTCCTGGTATACTATACAATAAATTTATTGTTATATAATTAGTTGTTATATATATAATAGAATATAAGTGTATAAAATTTTTTTCTGACTTACATGATCATCGCAACGTTATTAAACATCTTAGATGAGGAAAAAGTACTGAATAAGAGACTTATCTCAGAAATTATTTTTATCAAGCAACAAACTAATAATCTAAATTTACAGAATGATACGGAATTGTTGGACAAAGCTTATAATGATATAATTATATTTAATGACGCGCTCAACGTATTCTATAATTTATATGTTTGTACTGTATGTCTTGTATTAGTGTCTTATCAGATAAAACTCGACGTCTGATGCATTAATAAAGTTGCGATAATCATGTGAGTCAGAAAAAGAATTTTATACACTTATATTCTATTATATAACAACTTAATAAATTTATTGTATAGCAAGAAGTGACATTACTGTTACATTACAATTCTTAGGTGACTGCATTTTGTTAACAATTTACATCAAGTACTGATAAGGATCCGAAATAGGATTGAAACATCTGCGTTTATAATTATAATTTAAATAAATTAATTTTCACATTGTCATCTTGTGTTGGCTTGAATAGGTATTAATTGATTGAATTGATAAATGAATAATATCCACAAAAGAGAGAGAGAGAGAGATTAAAAATAATGTTAGCGCGACAGAAACTTTTAAAATCAGTTAAGAAATTCACAGATCGCAGATGATAGAATTGTTATTTATTTATGTAATTATTTATTTACGTAATTAATTCCATTAATTTTTGATCCAAGATAACTTTTTATTAATATATTTTAATTAACTCAAGTTATTGCCCAAATACCAAGTGCTTATAATAAATGTTTAACTATTTGTATTTCTAATTATTCTTCATCCTGCTGCAATTTTCCTTGCCATACGTCAATTAAATTATTAATTTAAATAATTCATATTAACAAAATACTGTAAATATTTTTAATCAGTAATTAATTCAATTAGAATAAATTGCTTATTATAACATTTTTAACTATAAGTATACAATTAATCTAAATTATTTTATTCGTAGTAAAAGTTATTGCTTGATAAGACAATCATGGATTAAATTAATTACGAGTTCTTTTTATTTTATCTACTTTGAAATATTCGGGGTTTTGAATTGATCGGGGTTCGCATCAATCAGTCGAAAGCAATGGTAAGGACAGCCCACTGCACATCGTTAGTTCGCGTGGCGCTAGCATGCTAAGCGCTCGATCGTATCTATAGATATATAATATCCTTTTTTGATAATTTGAGAACAAGAAGAATAGAATAACATCACCGATTCCCGCAATTCTGGCAATTCTATAGAATTAAATTAATGTATATAAGTCATTTTATTATGCAATCGTTAATTGATAATTTTTGCAATATATAAATTTGTATGTACAATTTTCAAATAGTATAAATACAAATATATATTTTAATATATATGTAATTTTTTTTATATCAGTATGCAATATTAATTTTATAATTAAAATTTTTAAGAGAATTTTTAGAAAATTATTTTTTATTAAAATAATTTAATTATAATA